TGGGGGGGGATGCTGTCGGGTCCCCGGGGGCGGGGCGGGGCCAGCAGCGCCCAGACCCTCTGTCCGCACCCCCGCCCCCAGCGCCGGAGGAGGGGTGGCACCGAGCTCCCGGCCGTCCCCCAAGCCCCCGAGCCGGCACCTGGCCGCGGGCGTCCCCCTCCCTTCCCAGGCTACGGGCTGACAGCTGGAGGGCTCTGCTGGACCGTCAAAGGGCGAGGCAGATGCCGCCCCCCCCTTCCCCACCGTGGAGAGAGGGAGGGGGCCCGGGCAGTGAGGGGCGACCACAGGGCTGCCGGTTCCTGTCAGACCCCCTCCCCACCCCATGTTTAATAACACGCTTTGCAGGAAATGGGGGGCAGGACCATGCTGGGGGTGTGGCTGCCCAGGCATGGCCGGCTGGGGGCCATTTACTCATGGGAGAGCAGAAGCCCAAGGTCGCCCAGCCCAGGGCAGGCTGTGCTCCAGGCAGGTGCAGACCCTGCCACGGACCCTGGTCCCCTCTGGCTTCCCTGCTGGGAAAGGGGCTGGGGAGGGGGGGAGGGGGCTACCACTAGCCATCCTGAGCTTGCGCTGTGAGGGCCCCTGGGAAGGGTTGGGAGCTTGGAGTCCTGATCCCAGTGCTCATCCCAGCTCAGCCCAGAGCCTCCCCGGGGGCCACTGGAGATGGATGGATGGGTGTGTGGACCAGCTGCGTGTGCGGCTGCGCACGTATGGCCGTGTCAGTGTGTCGGGGCACCTGTGCGGGCGCGGGCAGGGCTCCGCAGGATGGCACGTGGGGTCTGGGTCCCCCACTCCCCACCCCACCCTCAGAGACTGGAGGTAACCCAGGGAGGCCCCTCCCCTTTCTCCAGGAAGCCTGCTGAGAACTGAGCGGGCCTTGGGGCTGGTGGTGGGGGCAGGAGGACCTCCTCCCGCTGCAGCCGCGTCTGCTCCGTGCAGTTAGAGAGCTTTGCAGGATCACATATACAGGCTGGCTCTGCCTTCCACACCCAAGGCCCAGGGATGGTCTGCCAGTTGGGGCGGGCTTCAGGGCCTCAGGGCTCAGAAAGGGAGGGCTTCCAGGCAGAGGACGGATTGAGAGGTGGAAGGCTAGGTAAAGGTTTCCACCTAGTGGCCAGGTGACCTTGGGCACTGAGGACTCCAGCTCTCCAGGCCTCAGTCTCCTCATCTGTAAGATGGAGACATAGGCGGTTCCTGGCTCATAGCATTGTTGGAAGAACAGCGGGAAGCCCGGGCGCTTCATAAGTGCTCAGGAAGTGCTAACTATGACTGTTTCCGAAGGCAGCCCAGGATGGGCTTCTAGGGAAGTGGGGCATCAGATTTGGCCATCCAGAGGAGGTGCAGGGACTTGCCCCTCTACCTGGGTGTCCACCTGGAACTTTGCATTTGTGCTTTCCTGGTCTGCTTTCTGGGAGAGACACCTGCCCAGGCCCCTGTATCTGAGCTCTCTGACTCACAGGGGCGGGCATAATAAATCAGACAGAGAAATCCCTCCATGAATTAGCTTGGTTGTCATGGCAACGCTGGCCTGCTTTGGAGTAAGATGTATTTTGATTCAGCAAAGTACAGCTGGAGTTTGGGCCATGGGGTGGGGGGCATCCAGTGGTGCTCTCTCAGGCCCCAGCCCCCCCCTCCGACTCTGGAGGTCTTCCCATAACCCTTGTTTCCATGACCTCCACCCCCTGCTGGCACCTTCCCTCCACCCCAAGCCCTGAGTGTTGCCCTGGGGTCTGTCAGCCGTGCCATCCTGCCTCGAAGGGAGCCTCCCCTGGCATGCATGCTCAGGCACCGGGACCCTCGGCCCCTGTCCTTGAGAGGAAGTAGACACTGCTCTGGAGGGAGCTTGCCAGGGTGGGGAGGGCCTTCTGCTGAGCAGGGGACATCTGCCCTTCCTTCTGGCCCCACATCCCCTTCCCCAAATTCACTGAAGACTACAGGCCAGTAAGCCTGCGTCCTCTCACCTTGGCCCACTAATACTTCCCTTGCAGCGTCTGGCCCAGAGCTCCCTGCCTGCCCTGGGGAGGCTGAGGGAGTGCCCTGCCCTGTGCTGCCACCAGAGGCCAGGACCACATCCCTACAGGGGACAGACGTGGCTCTGTGGGGCTGGCAGACCAGTGGTTTCTGTGGTTGGAGGAGCCTCTGAGTAGGGGGTGGAGGGAGGCCCCAAGGGTAGGGTGGGAGAGGGACTAAGGCTGGCTTCCCCAGGGCCTCTGCCACCTGGAGTTTGGGGCTGACCCAAGAGCAGGGATGATCCCAGGAAAGCAGTTAGAGGACTGAGTGACAGGAGCTAGGAGAGCCCACGACATGGGGTAGGGTGGTGATGAAGTCTATTATGCCCATGACCCACGTGGGAGCTGCAGGACTGAGTGCCCTTGGGGAAAAGAGAAAGGGGGCTCCTGGGAGGAGTTTCTGGGGCCTTCATCTTGGTCCCCACTTGTTGCACCGATGCCCCCTTTCCCCCTCCCTGCCCAGGCCCCTCTGGCCATGCCTGCTCCAGCTTTATTCAGAGTACCTGTCTCTGTGAGGGGCTGCCTCCCTGGCACCAGGTGGGCTTCCAGTGTGCGACCTCCCTGGGAGCCCTCGGTCCCCCTTGTGAATCGGGGGGTGCTGCAAGATCTCAGGCTCTCCTCTACCCCTTCCAGCTACTTTCTCCTCTGAGGGCAACTGCAGCGGGGGGTGGGGGGGTGGGAGATGACCTCACAAGACCCCCTCCTTCTATAGGGAGTAGTCTTCTGGGTGGAGACTCCCCCTCCCCACTGGTGTCTGTGCCAGGTCCTGGGTCTTGATCTCTAGCCCTTCTAAAATGTCAGTGCCTGCAGGTGTGGCCAGGCTGGGGGCGGGGGAGACCTGGCTCCCCTGGAACTAACAAGAAGGGGCAGGAAACATCAGAGCTGGGCAGAGTGTTCCGGGGGGAGAACATCCTGAGCGTGGCCCTGGTTGGGGAAGGGGACGCTACAGGACAGCAGTGGGGGGGGGGTCGCCAGCTTACCCAGCACCTCATAGATGCCCGGCTCTGTTTCAGCTACCAAGGATAGAGCAGTGAGCAAAACAGATTAAAAAAACCCTCATCCTTTTGGAGCTTGTACTTTAGTGATGGAGATGGACAACAACCAAGATAAATAGTAGTGATAGGAGCTAGAGAGAGAAATACAACAGACACAGGACAGGATGGGGTTGCTGTTCTAGATGGGGAGCCCAGCGGTGCTCCTCTGAGCAGGTGACATATGGATAAAGTCCTGAAGAACGTGAAGGAGGGAGTCATGGAGATAACCGGGGGAAGAACTGCACCCCTCACATATACACAGCATGTGCAAAGGCCCTGTGGCAGGGGCAGCCGGTGTGTGGGAGCATCATCAAGGAGACTTATGTGGCTGGAACAGGGGTGATGAGAAAGTGAAGCAGGAGGGCTGTGTCTTGTGGACCATTGTCCAGTGCTGGCCCTCAGCCCCAGTGACACAGGCGCTGTTGGAGGGTCTTCGGGAGAGGAGTGGTGGCGGTGGGATCTGACTCATGTTCTCACAGGGTCCCCCTGACCTCAGTGGTATGGAGGACAGACCCAGGGGCAGGGTGGAAGCGGGGATGCCAGTAGGGAAGTGATGGCAGTGATCCTTTGAGAGATGCTGGCCTGGTCAGGGTGGGGACATGGCAGTGGTGGGAAGTGGTAGGATTCCGAGTGTGCTTTGAGATGGTCTTGAACGTAGAACCAATAGGATTTGCTGATGGAGGCGCTATAAGGTACTTGGGGCTGACTCTGAGGTTTTGGCCTGGACCATGGAGGGAAGGGTGGTGTTGCTGCCACCTTAGATGGACGTCAGGGCCAGCAAAGTGTTGAGCAGAGGGGCAAGAGTGGGGCCGTGTAATGCCTCCACTCCACTCTATGCAGGAGGAGCCCCTCGCTGCAGAGGGTGGGGGTGGGATTCCCACAGAGCTAATATTAGTAACTGCCTCTTATTGACTGACTCTGTGCCAGACCCTTCTTGCTTTAAGGGTGGACACGCCCTAAGGCCTATGAGCCTGGCCCCCTTAGCCCCCTTTGAGCTCAAGGCCAAGGCCATAGGGCTAGTAAGAGCCCAGTGAGAGTTTGGACTTGGGTCCATCTGCCTTCGTGAGCTTTGTGGGCCATCGGGGCCTCACACCCTGCATCCAGCAGCTGAGAGCCGAGTCCAGAGCAGCCCTGGATGCTGTGGGTCGCCAAGCGGGTCCTGGAGCAGCCCCTCTGTGACTCGACTCCCTTGGGTTCCTGCTGTCAGGGACCCCCACCCCCACCCCTGTCCTGGGCCTGGACAAAGGGGCTTCTGTCCTGCCAGTCCTTCCCTCACAGAGTGACTGACCCACAAATGGGTTATGTAACCATGGCCCAGACAGGCAGGGGCTTGGCCTGAGTCCGGCTGGCCCCGAGCCCACAAGGAGGGCGTTGGTGGGCTCCCCTCCTCCAGCAGTCAGCTGGTGGAGGCCAGGACCGGGGAGGCCCAGGAGGAAACTGGGGCCCCAAACAGAGGGCTTGGGCACCTCGGCTTCGGGTGGGCTGATCCCAGGACCCAAATGGGCCTGCGGAGATGTGGTGGCCTTTCTTGTGTGGTCACTCAGGGGCACCAGCCCACTTGCCTGCCTCCCCTTCCTGCCTCTCCAGGCAGGACTCATCCACATGGGCAGGTCCCGGCCTGGGACTGGGGGGAGGCTGCACCCTGAAGATGCAGATCTTCCCCCAGAGATACCCCAATTTCCGGGTGTTCCAGCCTTCCTAGGCCACCCCCGGCCCCATCTGGGTCCTTCTGAGAAACAGATTGTGCCGGCTCTCTCCCTCCCGCCATCGGCAGGTGCTTTGCCAGCGTCCCCGAGGAGGGGGTGCATGTGCACATGTGTGTGTGCCTGTGTGGGTGCGCAGCTCTGGCTTCCGTCCCCGCATGGGGACGGGTCCGGAGCGCTTGGCTCTGTGAACTTGCAACACCTTAGTTCGGTGGAAAACCGGGGTCCAAAAGCTGGTACCTGGAGCTGAGTGCAGGGGACAGAGTTGAATGAATGAAGGCATGTTTCTTGATTAAAGATTTAAGACAGCTTTGGCTCCGAGCCTGCTGGGGTTGGACTGCCTCACTGTCTCTCTCCCACCCCCCTAGAGCTCCTGGGCTCCACCAAGAAGATCAATGTCAACTTTCAGGACCCCGATGGGTGAGTTCTCAGACGGGGAGCGCCAGGATGGCATGGGGTGCGGTGGGGGGGCTCCTGTGGAAGGCCAGGTTGCCTGGCTCCTTGCCCATTCATACCCGTTGCCTGCCCCAGCTTCTCTGCCCTGCACCACGCGGCCCTGAATGGCAACACAGAACTGATCACCCTGCTCCTGGAGGCCCAGGCTGCTGTGGACATCAAGGACAACAAAGGCAAGGCCCGCCAGGAACCTCGGAGCCAGGGCGGGGGTTGAGGTCCGGGGTGGAGTCCCTAGAGACCTAAACAGTCCCATGATGGAGGCCCCAGCCCAGAGTCTTGGTCTGGGTCGAGACAGGTTTTCCTGGGATCAGCATCCTGCAGGCCTGGATTGGGTGCGGGGTCAAGGGCTAGCTCCCAACGGCGCCCCCGCCCCCACCCGCTCCCAGGCATGCGGCCGCTGCACTACGCGGCCTGGCAGGGCCGGAAGGAGCCCATGAAGCTGGTGCTGAAGGCGGGCTCAGCGGTGAACATCCCATCCGACGAGGGCCACATCCCTCTGCACCTGGCAGCCCAGCATGGTCACTATGATGTGGTAAGGAGCACCCCAGGGGCGGGGCGCCGGGGCGGCACGAGCCCAGCAGTCACCCTGGGGGCTGACCGCGTCCCGTGGCCCCACAGTCCGAGATGTTGCTGCAGCACCAGTCCAACCCGTGCATGGTGGACAACTCGGGGAAGACGCCCCTGGACCTGGCCTGTGAGTTCGGCCGCGTTGGGGTAAGTCTCCCCAGAGAGCTGAGTGGGACTCCATCTGCTCCGGCTGCCCCCCCAGGAGGGGGGCAGTGGGGAGACACACCTGTGACCTCCCACCCCACTTCCGGCCCCCCTTCTCTGACCCCTCCCTCAAGGTGGTCCAGTTGCTCCTGAGTAGCAACATGTGTGCGGCCTTGCTGGAGCCCCGGCCGGGGGATACCACCGACCCCAATGGCACCAGCCCCTTGCACCTGGCGGCCAAGAATGGCCACATTGACATCATCAGGTATGGCTGTGGCGGGGGAGAGGAGGGGGACCCGGCTGCGGGCTTCCTGCTCCGGCTGCATCATCAGCCGTGGCATGTGGTCAGTGGCCGCCCCCGCCCGGAGAGGCTACGCTGCGGGGCTGGGGGCTGGGGAGTGGACTTGTCCAGCCCTAGGCCTGGGCTCTGTGGGGGCCCCGCCTCTTGCTGGGTGGCCTTGTGGAGACACTTAGCATCTCTGAGACTCAGTTCTCCCGTCTGTGAAGCGGGTATCCCGGCAGCGGCTACGCTAGGATGACCCCGACAGCTATTACCGTCTGCGGGGGCGGGGGGGCCTAGCTCTTCCGCAAACGCTCTGTCACTGTCAGACACCACGTTGTGAGGGGCGCCTGGGAATGGGGGCCCAGCAGGGGGATGGGGTGGGAGGCTCCTGCTGTAAGGGCTCCTACTCCGGCCCGCCGTCCGCCTTCCAGACTCCTCCTCCAAGCCGGCATTGACATTAATCGCCAGACCAAGGCCGGCACAGCCCTGCACGAGGCCGCACTCTGTGGGAAGACGGAAGTGGTGCGGCTACTGCTGGATGTGAGTCAGGGGGCCGAGGGGGTGGGGCCCGGTGGGAGCGTGGGGCCTCCTGACAGGCCGCACCCTCTGGCACATACAGAGTGGGATTAATGCCCACGTGAGGAACACCTACAGCCAGACGGCCCTGGACATCGTGCACCAGTTCACCACATCCCAGGCCAGCAAGGAGATCAAGCAACTGCTGCGAGGTGGGGCTGGGGCTGGGGCGGGGGACCCAGGAGGGGCGGGGGGGGGCGGCTAGGCCAGGTCAGCTCACAGGACTGGGGGTGGTCTGCCTCCTGTGTCCCCAGAGGCTTCAGCGGCCCTGCAGGTCCGGGCAACCAAGGATTATTGCAACAATTACGACCTGACCAGCCTCAACGTGAAAGCTGGGGACATCATCACGGTAAGGCCAGCCGGGGTCTGCCGGAGCAAGGATGGGCGGACCCCGGGCGCTCACCCCACAGCCGCCCCGCGCAGCAACTGGGGAGTCTGGGGGTCGCGGCGGGAGGCCCAGGTCAGCCACCCACTTGACCTGGCCCTGGAGGGATGTCTCCCTGAGCATGCTCCCCCATCTCATCTGGCCAGGTCCTCGAGCAGCATCCGGATGGCCGGTGGAAGGGCTGTATCCATGACAACCGGACAGGCAACGACCGGGTGGGCTACTTTCCATCCTCCCTGGGCGAGGCCATTGTGAAGCGAGCAGGCAAGTCCCACCCGGCCCTGGGTTTGGGGACCAGAAGGAAGCAAGTGCATTTGTGTTGGGTGGCGAGGCCACTGCTGGGTGTGGGGTCCTGAGTGGGGTCCTGCCAGCTGTCTCATCAGCGTGCCCACACCGGTTCCCTCCTTTATTTAATAGGCGGTAGGCACCAGCCGCCAGGAATAGATGGTGACCCAGATGCACGGCATTCGTGCCTCAAGCTCACCCCGAGGGAGGGAGGGGAGCAGGGGGCAGTGAAGTAAATACGCAAGCAAATGTGCCAACTGGTGCCGTAGACAACATGGACGGAGACCTGCTTTTTATTTATTGTTATTAGTTTCGGGGTACCATTTAGTGATCCATCGGTTGCAGAGAGACCTGCTTTCTAGACAGGGTGGTCGGAGAAGGCACTAGGAAGTGGGAGGGGCTGGCCCTGGGCAGAGCATCCAGACAGCAGGAATGACCTACACAAAGGCACCAGGACAGAAGAACACGTGAGGTGCCGGGGTCCTAAAGGAGGCCAGCATACACGGCTGGCACAGACTGTGGAAGGGGGGTGCAGGGCGAGGCCACAGGGCATGGATTGCTTTCAGACAGGGGTCAGTGAGATGGCTTACCTCCTAGAGAGGACATGGAGATCGACGGGTGAGGTGAAGGGACAGAGGGGGGCCAGTGAGAAAGCATGGCCAGCCAACCCAGGGTCATCTAAGCTTTTGGGGACCTCATGTCTCTCCCTGCTCCCCACACCCCACCCAGGGCCACAGGGCCACTGGCAGGATGGCCTGGCCTGGGCCCTCTTGCCATGGTCTCCTGCTCTGAAATGTATAGGGCGGGGAAGGGTCTTCTGAGGCTCTCTCAGCTCCCTAGAGACAGCCGGGGCCAGACGAGGCTGCAGTGCTGACCTGAGGGGCCTCTGCTCTGCCCAGGCTCTGGGGCTAGGCCAGGGGCTCCCCCTCGCCGTGTCAGGCCCCCACGCCTGGCTGGTCCAAGATTCAGGGAAGCTGTGCTTGGCCTGCAGGTTCTCGAGCAGGTGCCGAACCAAGCCCATCGCAGGCGGGCAGCTCATCAGGGCCCTCCGTGCCCCCCGAGGAGATCTGGGTGCTGAGGAAGCCTTTTGCAGGTGAGTGGGGAAGCTCTGGAGGTCAGGGCCGCAGTACTTCCATGAGGCATCTCCTGGGCTCGGGCCGGGCCATCACCGGCTGACGGAGCTCCCTCGTGGTGGCAGGTGGGGATCGCAGCGGCAGCGTGAGCGGCGTGGCCGGTGCAAGAGGTAGTGGGGGCCACACCCTGCACGCAGGCTCCGAAGGGGTCAAGGTAGGTGGTCTGGGGGGCAGGGCCGGGGGGGCTGGGGTACAGAGCAGCGCTGGCCAGCCTGCCTGTCTGGGTTGTAGCTCCTGGCAACAGTGCTCTCCCAGAAGTCCGTCTCCGAGTCCAGCCCCGGGGACAGCCCTGTCAAGCCTCCAGAGGGCCCCACAGGTAAGAGCAGCCCCTGGCCAGGAGGTGGCCCCCCCGCAGTGAGCAGCCCCTGCCCCACCACACCCTCTCGTCCCCAGGTGCGGCCCGGGCCCAGCCTCCAGCGGCCCACGCTGGGCAGGTGTATGGGGAACAGTTGCCCAGGAAGCTGGAGCCGGCATCGGAGGGCAAGGTACAGGGCCCGGGCTGGCTGCGGGGAGGGGCTCCCGGGCAGCCTGCTGGGTCTGGCCACAGCGTGGAGGGGGGCCCTTGATAGGCCAGGCCCGTACTTCTGTCCGTCTGTCAGTCTGTGTGTGTAGGTGTTGTCTATTGTGTGGGTTGTGTGTGTGAGCTGGTGCGACCGGGAAGTGTGACGTGGGCGTGAGGTGAGCAGGGGATGCGCCTGTGTGTGGGTGGTGACGGCGAGCCGGGCACGTGCGCTTGTGTGTGTGTGTGTGTGTGTGTGTGTGTGTGTGTGTGTGGAGGAGGCCTGGGTGTGAGGCAAGCCCAGGTGTGTGGGGGGGGTGAGAAGGGCCCTGTGTGCCGGGAAGGTGCGAGCGGGGGCTGTTCCTCCCGCACACCTCTGGACAGAGCCCACCTGCGCAGGAGTGGAGGGGCTGCTCTGCGCGGCCGCATTGCCGAGCCCCCCAAGCCCCTCACGTGGGGCCGCCGCAGGGTGTCCCTGGTGCAGGAACGGGGGGATGGGCAGGGAAGCCTGTGGATCGGACGGCAGCTGGACCCTTCTGGTGGAGACCGCGGCAGGAGGCCGGACGGCCGACGGAGCTCGCCTCGGTGGCGTCCGGGAGCACAGCGTGAGGAGGAATGCCGGGGCCAGGCTGCCCCGGGCCTGGCCTAAGGGGGACCAGCGGACGGCGGACTGAGCGGCTGAGCAGAGGAGGAGCCGGCTTGGTGGCCGGGGTGCACGGCTGGTGGGAGAGCAGGCGGCGAGCCTGCAGCGGCTGCCTTGTGTCTTCCAGAGTGCCGAGGCCGTGAGCCAGTGGCTCGCCACGTTCCAGCTGCAGCTCTACGCCCCCAATTTCATCAGCGCCGGCTACGACCTGCCCACCATCAGCCGCATGACCCCGGAGGTGAGCTGCCCAGAGGCTGGCCGCCAGCCGTGACCGAGCTGGGCCCCCAGCCTCCCGCTCACGGGCCTCTCCTCCACCTAGGACCTCACGGCCATTGGGGTCACCAAGCCGGGCCACCGGAAGAAGATCACCGCAGAGATCAGCGGCTTGAGCCTCCCCGACTGGCTGCCTGAGCACAAACCCGTAAGGCTCCCTGCACCCCAGGGGCTGTGCCCGGGGTGGTCAGACAGACAGACTGACTGCCTCCCTGGCTACAGCCCTCACCCGCTCTCTGGGGCTCCAGGGAGAGTACAGAGGACGGCCTCCATTTGTCCGTCCCGGGCACTGGGGCCGGCCTTCCCGGGGCAGGGGCTGGGGCCTGTCAGGGCAAGGGCCTGAAGCCACGAGGGGGCCCCTCTGCAGTACCAGGACCCCTGCACCCTAGGGCGGCCACGGCAGGCACACCAGCCAGCACCCCGCAGCACCGCCCACCGCGTAGGCACCCAGACGCCATAGGGGACTCCATGTGGACGGGAAGGGCTGGCACGCATCCAGGCCCGTGCGTGGGGAGGATGTGTGTCTGCTTCGTGTACACAGACCGCACGCGTGCACCACATCTAGTCAAGGCGACTGTTGCCGACCGCATGCACACACCCACACTTCCAGGGCACGTGCTGGCTGTGTGGACAGCGGACACCCACGCAGACCGCGGGCTGTGCCGTCACCCACAGTCACTGGCGCAGTGCAACAGGGTCTGGGCCTAGGTAAGGTGGGCCCGAGGCCGGTTGCATCTACACTGCCTGGGAGCCTCGCGCCGAGCTTCAGGAGAGACCCCACCGTCACCCAAGGCGCCCAGGGCTGTGGGTTGGTGACGCGTGGGGTCCTGCTCGCCTGGCCCGGCTCAGCCCACTCAGGCAGCGGCTCAGGGGTGCTCCCAATGAGCACATCCCTGTCCCGTGGGCCGCATGTGGCTCTGTGCACCTGGGGGTGACCACGTGTGCTGTGTGTTGGTGGGTGAGTGATATCCAGCCGCGAGTGTGGACAGGTGGTTCTGGGTGAAGAACATCATGGGTAGTTACATGCGTGTGTGCTGTGACTACGTGACCTGTGCCCAATGTGGTGTGCAAGTGGGCGTGAGCACGATGTGGAGGGTGTGGGTGCCCGTGTATGGCCAGGATGCAGGCTGCGTGGATGTGTGTATCTGGCCGGTGGCACCGCGTGTCTGTGTCTGTGACGTTGCCAGCCGTGTCCCCCTGGGTGCTGTCCCCGTGGCTGCCTCGGCAGGTGAGGAGGCGCGTTCCTCCCCTCCCCCAAACGGTGTCTTGAGGATAGGGTCGTCCCTGTGTGTGTGTGTTTGCGTGTGTTCGCACAGGCGTGTGAGCTGGCCTTGGGCTCCTACTGAGGTTGCGCTGTCTCCAAAGCTGACACCTCTGGCCTGTCCATTTGTCCTTCTGTCTGTCTGTGCCAGGCTGGCCCGGTGCCCCTACCCCCAAAAGCTCTGAACAGCGAGCAGGGTGTGGCCAGCCAGCTCGGGCTGCCCTCTGTGTCCTCTTGCTCCCCAGGCGAACCTGGCGGTGTGGCTGTCCATGATCGGCCTGGCCCAGTACTACAAGGTGCTGGTGGACAACGGCTACGAGAACATCGACTTCATCACCGACATCACCTGGGAGGACCTGCAGGAGATCGGCATCACTAAGCTGGGTGAGGCGCTGGCCCCGGCCCCCTCTGTCTCCCGGTCCCTGCTCCCCTCCCGGGCCTGACCTGCCCCATGCCCCACGCAGGACACCAGAAGAAGCTGATGCTGGCAGTGAGGAAACTGGCGGAGCTGCAGAAGGCAGAGTATGCCAAGTACGAGGGGGGACCCCTGCGCCGGAAGGCCCCACAGTCACTCGAAGTGATGGCCATTGAGTCGCCAACCCCGCCTGAGCCAGCCCCCGCTGAGTGCCTGTCTCCTAAGATGACCACCTTCCAGGACAGCGAGCTCAGTGGCGAGCTGCAGGCTGCCATGACTGGCCCAGCAGAGGGGGCCACCGCCGCCCCCACTGCCGAGAAGCCCTCCAACCACCTGCCCCCGACGCCGAGGGCCTCCATACGGCAGGAGCCCAGCCTGGGAGGACAGGCTCGGCACATGAGCAGCTCTCAGGAGCTGCTGGGTGATGGGCCCCCCGGGCCTGGCAGCCCGATGTCACGAAGCCAGGAGTACCTGCTGGATGAGGGGCCAGCCCCCGGCACCCCACCCAAGGAGACCCGGTCCAGCCGCCACGGCCACGGTGTCAAGCGGGCCAGTGTGCCCCCAGTGCCGGGCAAACCGCGGCAGGTCCTTCCGCCAGGTGCCGGCCACTTCACGCCCCCTCAGACGCCCACTAAAGCCCAGCCAGGCTCCCCTCAGGCCCTGGGGGGGCCTCATGGTCCCACCCCAGCCACAGCCAAGGTGAAGCCCACCCCACAGCTGCTGCCACCAACAGAGCGACCCATGTCACCCCGTTCGCTGCCTCAGTCACCCACGCACCGTGGCTTTGCCTATGTGCTACCCCAGCCCGTGGAGAGCGATGCAGGGCCAGCTGCCCCCGGGCCCGCACCTGCGGCCGCGCCTCCGCCCGTGCCCACGCTGTGCCTGCCTCCGGAGGCCGACGTGGAGCCGGGGCGGCCCAAGAAGCGAGCCCACAGCCTGAATCGCTATGCAGCGTCCGACAGTGAGCCAGAGCGGGACGAGCTGTTGGTGCCAGCTGCCGCGGGGCCCTATGCCACCGTCCAGCGGCGTGTGGGCCGGAGCCACTCGGTGCGAGCGCCTGCCGGCACCGACAAGAATGTCAACCGCAGCCAGTCCTTTGCCGTGCGGCCCCGAAAGAAGGGGCCGCCCCCGCCCCCGCCCAAGCGCTCCAGCTCCGCCATGGCCAGCGCCAACCTGGCCGACGAGTCGGTGCCGGATGCTGAGACGGAGGGGGCTGGGGCCGAGGAGGGCCGGCTGGGGGTGCGGGCACAGCGCCGACGGGCTAGTGACCTGGCCGGCAGCGTGGACACAGGCAGCGCCGGCAGTGTGAAGAGCATCGCAGCCATGCTAGAGCTGTCCTCCATCGGGGGCGGGGGCCGAGCGGCCCGCAGGCCCCCAGAGGGCCACCCCACGCCTCGCCCTGCCAGCCCGGAGCCAGGCCGGGTAGCCACAGTTTTGGCCTCAGTGAAGCACAAGGAAGCCATCGGGCCTGACGGTGAGGTGGTGAACCGGCGCCGCACACTCAGTGGGCCGGTCACGGGGCTTCTGGCCACTGCCCGCCGGGGGCCTGGGGAGTCAGGGGGGCCTGCAGATCATGGCCACTTTGTGGAGGATGGTGCCACCCGGCAGCGGTCTCGAGGTCCAGCCAAGGGTGAGGCAAGTGCGGAGGGCCCGCCCCTGGCCAGGGTGGAGGCCAGTGCCACGCTCAAAAGGCGCATCCGAGCCAAGCAGAGCCAGCAGGAGAACGTCAAGTTCATCCTGACTGAGTCGGACACAGTCAAGCGCCGGCCCAAGGCCAAGGAGCGGGAAGCAGGTCCCGAGCCACCACCGCCACTGTCCGTGTACCAGAACGGCACGGGCACTGTGCGCCGCAGACCCACCTCTGAGCAGGCTGGGCCCCCAGAACTGCCCCCCCCACCCCCACCTGCAGAACCCCCACCCTCCGACCTGCTGCACCTTCCCCCCCTGCCCCCGCCGGACACCGATACCCGGAAGCCAGCCAAGCCGCCAGTCTCTCCCAAGCCCGTGCTGGCTCAGCCTGTGCCCAAGATCCAGGGCTCACCCACGCCTGCCTCCAAGAAGGTGCCACTGCCAGGTCCTGGCAGCCCAGGTAGGTGCAGGAGCCAGCTGGGGAAGGGCCCCTTCCCACTCCATGGTCTGAGGGATTTTCCTCTTCTTGGATTTGAGCAAGGCCATCTGAATGGGGTGGGAAAGTGTCCTCAGACCCTCTCATCCACCCACCCACCCACTGGACAACTCTGCCGGCCCAGAACTGGGAGGAGGGTGGACGTTCGTCCCCTTGCTCAGTGAAGGAGGCACAGAAACCTGTGGATAACAGCACCTGTGGAGGGAGAACAGGTGCACGATGCTGGGTCATGGAGAACTCTGACCAGGCTGGAGAGTGACCTCAGCACAAGAGGGAGGGAGCGGGCTTCCAAGCAGAAGGATCAGAGGTGCAAAGGCCCTGTGGTATTCAATCAACCCAAGGGCCAATGATTGCAGCAGGCCACACCTGAACGGGGACGGGGGTAGGGGTTTGGAAGCGATGACGCGGGCAGGTATGCATAGGGAAGCGCGCCCCTGGCGGCTGCGGGGAGCCTGGGGTCGAAGGGGCAGAGGGGGTCTGGGGCCGGGGCCGCGGCCGGACCCACAGTGCGGACCGCGGTGTCTCCGCCCCCGGTGCGAGTCTCCTCCTCCCCGCAGAGGTGAAGCGCGCCCACGGCACGCCGCCGCCCGTG